TGAGTTGCATTCATGACCTAGTGCGCCGAATTGAAAGTGAATTCACTTTCTACTGCAATCACTTGTACAGCCAGCCATGACATTCACCTCGCACTTATACTCGCAACAGCGGGCTGGTAATTACAGCTCTGCTGTAACCTCTACTTGTCTGCTAACCAATACTTACATACTTCTTATATATACAGTGCTTAGTGCCTACAGTCTACACAAACTAACATACAGTTTTAACCTGCACAAATCGTCCCCTGCCCACACTCGTATACTCATTCCCAACATCGCTGTCACTTTTATTCGCCGGAGAAAAAATCAGGCAACCCTATCTACTCACGTGGCACATCCCCGCTAATGGCTAATAGCACGGCCATTGTGGCAGTCAAATGGCAGCGCAGGTGATCAGAGCCGATTTGTAGTCACATTTGCATATTAACAAGTCGTATCGGCGAAGTTTGGTGTTAATCGTTACACGGAAACTCGCGCGGCGGCTTTTGACTGTGACTCTTGGTAGGGTCAAATTGTTAGCTTCAATAAACATGTTAATATGGTATCTATAACATTTCCTTTTGAATTCAGAATTACAGTTATTTACTAATATAAGTTGGAGAGGAAACTCACATTAAGATGGGCGTAAATAAACTAAATATAGTAATACATTAAGCATGAGTGTAAAATGGAATTATATGCCTCATGTATCTTTACTGACTTAAGACGTTTCTTCAGCCTGTAAACATTTAAAAGCTCAGTGATTCGAATGACTCACTAAACACCCTAATCAAACGTGTGTCACAATAAAGTCTTGAACTGTTGTTCCCAAGCAGTTAGTTAACTCTGGTCATTTTAGTTTACACTAGTTGAATCTGGAAGAGTACGTTCGTATAAGCTACAATAATGACTATTGATAGTGTTAGACATTGCATTCCTTTGTTTAATATGATGACAGTTAAAGAATAAAAACTCTGTAGTTGAATTAAGCCACCAACAGAAGGCGCTGATGTTAATTAACTATTTAGTCGTATACGTATCTTTTAAAACAAGAAATAGTGAAAGGACGATTTACTACTACAGCACCTTTCAGCCTGTCATGTCACTAATTCAAGAGTTGTAAATTATTGATTCGATACTATTCTATCTAGTGAGTATTTTTACAGTACAGTATCCCGCTCTGTGAATGCATCATGCAACTAAGCCTGTTCTTGTTTTAAGATGTTTAATTCAGAATCCAAAAGTCAATAGTGTTATAACTGTTATAAGTTTTACGAGCTGCATACATTACAAACATTTGCATACATTATGCAAATATTGTGCTTGATCTTCGTCAAAATTTTCTCTGCAGAGCTTATTAAAATATATTTTAATTTTGATAAGTAATCTTCATATGGCCATCACTAATCACTATGAACTTTATTCCCGTTAAAGATCCAGAATAAGCAATTGAATCAATCAATTTGAGTTATTTATCACCAGTGGACAATTTTTTTTATTACTATTTGTGATGGATAACGTATTTTTCATTATTATAAACATTATGATTCACAATAATTTGTATAACTTGTGCACAATACCTCATTGTGTAATTGGGAAATGGCCATGTCTGGTGATGCATTTAACAAAATGCATAATAAAACCGACAAGAAACAGATCGAGTTACTTTGTATGCAAGGGTTCGGTGTTATGAATCATGCAACACATTATTCGAACTCACGAGTTGTTTAGCATTATTTGTATGCTCGTGGCGACGCACAAGCGAGCTATACCACCGAGTAATTGTATTGCGGTGAAGAGTGTTGAGAGCAGCATGAGTACTTCAATGCTGTACGAAAGTATGCTAGAACAAATGTTTTGAATAGTTATATGTACTGAAAATTCAATATTTATTGTGGGGGAACAAAATACTAATCCTATATTGGGGAACTAAACCAATATTAGGAGATAAGGGGAAATAATATGGGTAACCCGCTTTCCCATTGATGTACCCATAGAAATGACAAACTAAACTTATACAGATTTTAAATTTGTTACACGATAATCATTACTGATAGAAAACGGTCAGTGGTAAATTATGGGAAACTTATTTCTTCCAAAAGTCGTAATTTTAATTTATTCTGCCTTTTAGTAACATTTTTAGAGATTTAGGATGAATTATACCAATAATGAAACCAGGAATTAATGTTTGGAGTAACATTTTTATAATCAAGTTTTTATTTTATAAAGTAGATTGAGTGTTATTGTAACAATAAGTTTTAGCAGCAAATACAGTATTATGTATAAATGTTTACACCAAACACTTAGTGAACTCACACACTAATGAAAGGAATAGTTTTTCAGAATTTCTATCACAAAGAAAAATCAACTCTAGCGCAATTCTGGTACTGTAGGTTTTTAGGGAGTAGATTTAGGTGCTGGTGCAGTACGACAATGGAAAATATTTAGGCCACAAGATAAAAAATATATAACACAAATGCACTTGCCATGGTTTTAGTTTTACAGGAATCAGCACCCAGACAGTGATATTTCGAGGCATGTTAAAAGGACGAATGTGCAACCAGTTTGAAAAAAGCGTCTCTTCGACGTAAACCAGTTCGATATAAAAGTGCTGGAGACCGCAAGGCCACCAACTAGCCGGTCAGTTAACTGAAACTGATACATAATGCAACCAGCAGCAGGGTGATGTATATATAGAGAATGTATTTTCAATTACAACTAGTATATGTTTATTTGTTGACTATAGTTCCAGCTTCCAGAAGAAAAAATTGTTTCCTTATGGATGGCCGTACACAATTTTATGATATGTTTCTGTCGCTTGTTCATATTTACAATTATTATTTATTGGTCACTCTCTAACTTTAAAACTATTAGAATACAAATATTCATTTGTAAAATATAGATATATTTTTGGTAATCTGTCAAAAATGCAAAGCAGAACGTCCTCTAGGCTTGCTTACCAGACATGCCAAACAAACATAAAAAATATTTATCAATTTTCAGTCGTATTAGAATAGAAGATCGCTTACACCATCCTTAAGTCAATTACAAACTTTTGAACAGATTAAGAAAATACTTTCTTATTGTTTACGATAGTATGATACTCAAATATAATACTTTACGAATCTGATTAATCTTTAAAAGGTTTTAGTTTTCATAGAGAATACTGTTGAATATGCATTGACCAAAATAATATCACCAAAGTGACAATGGCGTAAAAATGATGTCACTTGACGAAACAATAGGGCCAACCTGAGATCATTGCATCATTATTTTCTCCCTGACTTCATTCCATATTTTATTAGCCCAAGGGCATAATTCAGTGTGTTTCATTCAAAATTTTAAGTAGTTTTAATAAAGGAAACCAGTCAGCAAATAAAAAAAAACACACTGCTTACATTTTGTCTAATCTTTATTTACTTTGTTTACATTTAGGTATAGTACACGTTTTTACTATAATTTGATTTTGACAAATAACTATTTACGGTATGGATATAATCCATGCGGTCTCAACTAAACGTACTCTTCAAGTTTTGATTCCGTTTCTAATTTCTGAAGTCATGCTATTTGGAGTGTGTGTCATGGATTATTGGTGTATTGTGGTTTGTGTATAATCATTGAATATTGGATATTGAAGATAGCCAAAGGTATTATATGTTTTATCTGTGGCATTATGGACGTTATTATTCCAATACATTTATTTAAGTTATTCTTCGAAACAGTTGTGTGAATTAACACGAATAGGAGCAAAGGAAACATAAAACTAAGTACAGTCACAGAGAAGTAAGATATAGTAAGACATCTTACTTCTCTGTGGTACAGTAGTACTAGTTTCTATAAACTGTGGCATTTGGAAAGGTTTTGAATTATGTTAAGCGTTATATCTGTTTTTATGATAGTAGATTCAAAGAACCATAATATTCTTTCCTACACCCTTACCCCGCTGCGAAGCACGGACTTAGTAACGAGTTGGTAATACAAATAATCACACATGTTTGCTTTAACAAATGCCCTTTGTCATGATGCGCCAAAGAAGTCATAAATCTAACAATCTGTCTGCAAGACGAACTTCGCTCCGAAATTGGAATACAAACGATTATTAGGCAGAACTGAAGATAGACCCGTAAATTTCCAGCCTAGTAATTTGTGACTCCACCTCTTATAAATCAAAGCCCCCGCTGACTGCATAGTCGGAATCCTAATTGAGCCATATGGTGTTTAGAAAGGCATATTTCTTCGATATTCAAACAGAGACCCGCATAGCTATAAGTCATCGTAAGATAGACGTTTCCGTAGCCTATTCATAGTTTATGATGGCTTAGAAAAGCCTACCTATTTCAACATTTCGAAGTTAATTAATTAATTTAAACATACCAGCCCGTTAAAACGATGTTAAGTTAAATATTCCTTTGATTTTTTCTTGTTTTATCTAACCACCCTTTAATCGTGCACTAGACACCCTAAACCCATTTACTTGTGTTCTCTAAACTCGCCCACGCTCTATTCGTACCCTCTAAACTCAACCACCCTTAAATCGTACACTAGAAACCCGAACCCCTTTACTTGTGTTTTCTTTAAACTACCCCACCCTCCATTCGTTCTCTCTAAACTCAACAACTCTTTTCTCGTACTCTCTTAACCCAGCCACTCTTTATTCAATCTCTCTAAACTAAAACACACTTTACTTGTGTTCTCAAATCCTAACCACACTTAACTCGTGCTTTGAAAACTCAATACAGTATACTCGTGATCTCTAAACTATATTACCCCTTCCTCATGCACTCAAAATCCAGCCCTGATTTACTCGTGGTCTCTAAACTCAACCACCCTTTACACGTATACTAGGAACTCTAACACTCTTTTCTCATATTGAAATCTACCCACCCTTACTCGTTCACCCTTTCCTCCCCTTTACTCGAACATTCGTATCTTAACCACCCTCTACTTGTAAACTATACCGCTCTTTACTCTAAGAGCTTTGCACTTTTACCCTTAGTCTCTAAACTGTACAATCGACTCACCTGAGTTCTTGTTCCTGCCGGAGTGTCTGGGAGGTAGGGTGCTGAACTTGTCCCGTGGGTCCAAGGAGGGAGTACAGTTGACCCTTTCTGCTTGTCGCAGGATTGACACCGCCTCCTTCTCGAGCTCTCGTCTCGACAATCTCCCCGGCCTCTCTCGGCGGACTGGTAGAGGTACCAGGTGGCCCTCCCCGTCACCGGCCAGCGCCGCCACCACACCCTCGCGACCTGCAACATCATAGGAAGGTTGATGGCGAAACTACACTGGTGTATGACGTAGAAGAGCTGGTGTGAGCATAGTATAGTCCTGGTGTTGAATTTCTTAACTATTACACCATCGGTGGTGAAGCTACACATCGTATTTTAACTCAAATATGAACGAAAGATATGTGAGGTGTCAAAGTTTTGTTTCGTGTTTTTGTTATCGACAAAGATCAGCTGTTTTGGTTTATCAAGGCCATCCAAAAAAGCTAAATAATCAAAGACAGCTGAGTCCAGTTTCAAACCATTTAAAGCTAGTTCAAGTATTTCTCAGGATCAATGCGGAGACCTGCTAATTTTTAGGAATAGGGAAGCAATTTATCCACTCAGTAATGCTTAACACCTTAGTATTCACTAAAAATTATTGCATTAGAAACGCCATCACCATCATTGGGAATTGTAGACCTCACTCGGAAGATTGTATCTTGATCAAAACCTACAACTTGATCAACGAATATAAATAGTAAGACGAGTGGACAGAAGAGTATGCTAGTGTCAAAGAAGTGTTTATCCTCCTCACAACCATGCTGGCCCAGCTACATTTGCTGGTCCATATAGATGGGACGTCTACTTGAACAACCAACAAACGATGATCCACTCACACGTCTCTAATCATCATTCCGACATTTCGTCTACAATGTTATAACGCAGCATGCCACTCCCCTTGGATAACCGACCCCACGTTAAACAGCACTTAAAATATCTCGCATAAATTAATCGGACACGGCCGGCGGATTAGCATAACTTATTGGTTGTTTTGTTGCGAATCTGATGAAGACTAGCTCGGGCCCGTGCCTGGGGGTTACCTCGGCATCAGGTAAGTGGCCAGTTATAGGATGGCTTGATTGTATAATAGAGACCCTCTGGACAGAGGAAACTGGTCTGATCTGTGGACTGCGAGATCGTGATGGTTAATTCCTGTCAGATGAAAACAATAGATTCGGTAGTAGCTGTTTCAGAGTTATATGTCCTCTTCAGTATACTAAAGTAAATAGTAGTAACTAATCTACTGTTTTTCGATTTGTATGGCATCACTAGTGTAAGTGACATAAAAATTCCATTCATAAGTAACAATCACAGAAACTATAATCCACTAGAACTGGAACAATTCAATGAACCTACAATCCATTAGAATTGGAACAATCCAAAGAAACATAATCTTAGATCTTATCTTATGCGCCTATCATATATTATCAATTTATTCAATAAGAACTACCTGATTAGTAACTCAGATTTCATCCAATATAAAGGTTAGTCAAGGTTACTTCTGAGGATTACAAATCCAATTTTCCATATTTGGGAACGTTTTCAGGATCGGAAGTATAATTTCGAGGCCAGGGCCGATGCTGGAAGTGGTAGTTGTGAGTAACGCACAGTTTGATGTGACCGCAAGTACTATACGGGTACGCCACTCTTCAATTCACTGCGTGTGGAAGGTCATTGCAGTTACACAGAAAAACAGGGTCATATTATGGACAAATAACCATATGGAACAAAAATTTGGAAGTTTGTTAATACTTTAAAAATGGTTTATCAATATTTACGATAGAAACAAGGTAAATATAATTTACGTTCTCTGTTAGGTAATTGGAGAAAAATCATCGTATGTATGCCTAATCCAAAATAATGCAATTCTGACATTACAGTTTTTTAACAGACGAACCATACTTCCTTTACCTCAAGTCGATTCTTGATCTACGTGATTGTGTGTATTAGATAGAGTTACCAATTTAACTTGTAGATCAAAATACAATAGCAAATTTGAATGGATGAAAAACAACAAAAAGTTAAACATGATGGCGATTTGTCAAGTAATTCACTACAAAAAGAGTAAAATGCTAGATACTGCTGGGAGATAGGATGGTTTTGCGACGATACTTTCTGCACTGGAAAAATAATATTAACAGTGCGTGCAGTCGCAACCGTTTGCCGGGGATAGCTCAGCCTACGATGGCTGGGTAAAGTTCCAGGGTCTGCGACAAGGTCAGGGAAACCACTAGGCCAATAGCCGGGTCTAACCGGTATAGGACTGGCTCATACACGGGCACTGTGAACAAGTCAAAAACAAGTCACCAAAACAAACGTGCAATAATCACTACCAGGCCTACGCCGATCCTCCACACTCCTAGGGGGTGTCGTTGCTGACTACGCAACTCGGGCTTCGTCCTAACTATCCAATAGTTAAGCCCAGAGTGCCTAAAACACGGTGAGTTACACGACGACTTGCCAATAAAAACCACAACGCGTGTTATCACCAGGCGGGGTCTACTAGGCCACTATAATCCAATACACAACTCTATTGCCCAAGCTAACAACCAAACAGTTTACTCAATAATAATACCAGATAACAATACAAGTGCACTATAGGTAAATTGACTACACCACTAGTAGCTGGTCTCAATAAATACCAAGCCAAACAAGCAAAGCTAAATGGCAATCGCACTACTATTAAATTATTGAGCTACTTAGAAGCAGATAAATAAATATTAAATACGTTCCAAACACTAGATAAATATATTATCTGATAACCGGTACTCCGCTATCCAAGCTACCAAGATAACGTGTTGGACTACCAAACAAGCTGTTCAGGTTAAATTAAAATAATCAAATGAATAAACAATAACAACCCTACTACTGCTACTGCTACTACCAACTTTATGTTACTTAGCTGGGCTTCTGTTAATAGGCTAATAATATTAGCTACTAGCCTACTGGCCACGTGTTTCCAACTACGCACGCTAAATCGTGCAGCCTAGGTTTGTCGGGCCTCAGAGTTATTAGTAATATAACTAACTCTAGGTACAACGCAAAATAATATCTACTACAGTCAATTAAATTATATTATTTGCGCTCTAGCACCTGCCCAGAACCGTCAGGAATACACTTTAATATTATTCCTGACTAATATAAATCCTAACTACCGTCAGGCTTTGACCAGCACGGTTACAACTCTAACTCTCGCAATAAAACCAGATATTAATATTATCCAACTAATAATATCAAGTCGTCCACTCACCACAAGTGGGTCAGTACCCAACTTACACCAACACTCGGCGCGATCACGCCACCAGCATACTCCGACACCACTGTCACGTACACCACTGGACGTCTCACTAGCCACACCCTAACTTCTTGACTCTCCGAGATCCACCACTAGAATGTCTGTCCTAGGCTATCCTGAGAAACTAGGATATCCCAGGCTTATCGGCACTGATAAGCCGGGTCAAAGGGCGCTCGCTAGCCTCGCTGCCGCTGCTCGCTCACCTCAACAATCGGTGCGCGGCCAAATAGCAAAAATATACCCCCCTAGCGAAAATAACTCGTTACACCTTAGCAGAAAATCCTCAGTGATCAGAAACGCAAATCCCAAGGACACAGCAGAAAAGTGCTGAAGGATATTTTGACACTCATTATGAAAACGACGAATTCGATTCATTCAGCAAGAAAATAAAACTTAAAGATTAACTTTCAGAGAAAAGTGAAAACACTATCTAAAATGATAATTGAAATTGATTAAAGCATAGACAAATAGAAGAAATAGTACCTGGGGACCGAGCTTTGCTCGGAGAAAATCATTAGTTCACTCTGAAAGCAGTCTTAGTATCGGAGATACATAAATCTGTTCCCAAACTCCACACGGCTCGCCTTTACAACGTCCTACACCATTTCCTACGTCATGGACCTGTTTCCCTCCATTCCCATAGCACTTTAAGATTGTAGATACCTTAATCTAATCGTTATTAACAGTTCCCACACTCCGGACAGCTCGCCTTGACTACTTCCTTCACCACTTCCAACGTAGCGGACCTGTTTTTCTCCCTTCCCATAGCATTTCAGAATTGCAGATACGTTAATCTAATCGTCATAAACAGTTCCCACACTCCATACTAATCGCCTTTACTACTTCCTTCACCACTTCCTACATCGCAAACATGTTTCCTTCCCTTCCCATTGCATTTAAAGATTGCAGATACATTAATCTAATCGTCATAAACAGTTCCCACACTCCGGACAGCTCGCCTTGACTACTTCCTTCACCACATCCTACGTCGCGGACCTGTTTCCCTCCCTTCCCATTGCATTTAAAGATTGCAGATACCTTAATCTAATCGTCATAAACAGTTCCCACACTCCGGACAACTCGCCTTGACTACTTCCGTCACCACTTCCTACGTCGCGGACCTGTTTCCCTCCCTTCCCATAGCATTTTAGGATAGCCCATACCCTTATCTAATCGTCATAAACAGTTCCCACACTCCGGACAGCTCGCCTTGACTACTTCCTTCACCACTTCCTACGTCACGGACCTGTTTCCCTCCCTTCCCATAGCATTTTAGGATTGCAGATACCCTAATCTTATCGTCATAAACAGTCCCCACACTCCGGACTGCTCGCATTTACTACTTCCTTCATCACTTCCTACGTCACGGACCTGTTTCCCTCTATTCCCATAGCATTTTATGATTGCCTTTACTACTTCCTTCACTACTTCCTACGTCACGGACCTGTTTCCTTCCCTTCCCATAGCATTTTAGGATTGCAGATACCTTAATGTATTCGTCATAAACAGATCCTAGACTTCGCACTGCTACCCTTGACTACAATGTCTCGAGTAATCTTAAGTATAATCAATCTTTGGTATAATCTTTGCTCAATATTAACAAGTGATGTTTTTCCTTTTGTACTGTATTTGTAATTTGCTAGTATACTGTGGGTAGTTGGTTTATTATGAACACGTGCTACAACTTCAAGTCTTTGTTGGTACCTTTTCCTTGTTATTTAATTCAACCAACATGGTTACTTAGCAACCCATAAGACTAATGTTAAAAAATGTGACTTTCAGTTTCGTTTTTCTACGTAATTAGATTTTTGTTGGCAGTTCTAACTGCATGAAACTTGTTTTTAGGCCAAAAATAAACTATTTACAAGATTTGAAGAAAATCGTCGGAGCCGTTTTCGAGATCTTTCTGCAAGCAAGCAAGCAAGCAAGCAAGCAAGCAAGCAAGCAAGCATACATACAAGCAAACATTGCTCGTATTAGAGTATAGGATAATAGACCGTCAGCTGTGCTGTGGTTAGCATAAGTTCTGGCGTCCACCGCTAGGTTTGCCGTGTAGTTACGGCGCACACCGCTGCAGGGTCTGCTGGTCGCATATGGCTCCTGCGGTCATCGCCTGCAGCGGTGTGCGCCGTAACTACATGGCACTCCTAGCGGTGGGCGCAGGAACCTTCCTTTGACAGTCTATATTTATTCTATTTGTCTATGATTATATCCACCGAAGCACCGATGCAGTGCAAATTGAATTTCATCGGCGATATTCTTTCCATTATGCAAAGTAATTCAGCTCTTTAGTAATCTTATACCAGTTTAGCTGCATAGCTATAACAATCGGAAGATTGCTGGTTCGCTACTGAGAAAAGGTCAGTAACGTGTTGATAGTTCAATTAAATACTAGACCCAGCCGTTCTTAATCATTGTACAGTACTTGGAAAAGCATAATCATAGCTAACAAACAGACTATCTTAGTAAGTAGTTAGCTTCACAGAGCATCCACGCCATTCAACAATCATTCTGCATTCACATCTGATTAAATTATGCACCTACGTGAGCGTTTATATCGTATGCAGTTGTGATTAGTGATTATGACGTGTTTCAACACTCTCTGCATTCATATTCAGATTAAAAAACGTACACAAAGTGCATCGACGTGTTATTAAAGTGAATAGCGAAAACGCGGCTGTTCAGCTGCGGATCTAGATGCACCACTTTCCACGTTGAATATTAATAGTTGTGGCTGTTGGCAGCAGCTACATTGCTATCCCGGTTATCCCACGGGAGCCTCCAGGTTCCAGGAAGACTCGCCCACTATGTTGCAACTCTCCCCGCCTCCAGGGAACACCCGCGCCTCTCCGACAAGTGGCGTGCGACGAACAGGAAGTTGGTGTTCTTGAATAGTTGGAAATGGGTTGAAAAATACTTTATTCAGAGATAGTTAGGGTCATAATATTGTCGTTTCTTTTACTCAACCTAAGGAGACACAAAAATGTGATGATATCACGATTAACTTAATTTTTATTTGTGTGTGTTCTGTTATCGGAATTTATTTACGTGTTTTAGGGAGGATGGTCCAACACCTGGTCTTGTTAATCCACTGAAGACATTTTTCTTAGATTAATTAATTAATAACGCAATGACAAAAATGAAATATTGGTTAACAATCGACCTCACTCGGGATCAAATACGTGTTATTTAGAAATAATGAAATTTTAGGATCCAGACTGTTTTCTTAACTTGAAATATTATAAAACCCTTGGTCCATTGAATCATTATTTCAAATATGTTAAATTTAAAACTGACTGACATCAATATTTGATATTACATTTTTACTGACGTCACTCGTTTGCTATCCAAGCGATAATGTTATGTAACTGTTGAAATTTTCCATAAACTATTTTACTGCAGTAAGAAAAATACTATGGTGAAGAGTAACTTCAGTGGAAGCATTTCTCTTGTATGTTATTAAACTTATGATTTGTTTTAATGTGTTTATCCACAATATAGTTTTTAACTAGAAGATCTCAGCCTGTTTTGAAACTTCCTTTGTCCTGTAGTGCATTTTGCCAAAATTAATGATACATTATTGAACAAATTTAAAATTGTTTGTTCCGTCACTGACACCTTATGACTCATGGCAGGTTTAGCTTTCACCCGCCATGGACGCGACCACCTCCATATGTGGTAGTACCTCCGGGCATGGTCCTACACTTGCCTAACATCTAATAATTGATTACTGGGCGATTTGAACACTTACGTAACTTGACCGGATGCAAACAGCAAGATTACTAACAGTAGTAATGAATTGTAGAGTAGGACGAACTATTGAATCAAGTCTTACAAGAAAGGATTAATTTCGGATTAAAGTTATTAAAGGTAATTAGTTATTAGTTAAAGGAGCAAGTTGGCGACGTCTCTGAGTAGCTTTGTCACTGACCAAGATTATCTAAGGCTAAGCTGTATCCAGAATCATAATTAGCCAAATATGTCAAGGACGACTGGCCCAGTTTCAATCATGAAAAAGCTACTATTTTTTATGTTCAAATCGGTGACTTTTTGATTATCAGAAGAACACTCACTCATCGAAGGTAAATGGACTAAGTTTCTTTAGTTTGTACCCTAAAATATTTTCACATTTGAATATTGAAAGGACCCGTGCCTAAACACAAGAGCAGCAGTAATCTTTAATCGTTCACTCTGAAGTATGGACGACAGCTGAGAGAAAGACGTTGTGATAACAAATTTAACAAATATCCTTCTTTACTAAGAAGGATCTTTACTGAACGTAGAACTGAGCCTTGAAGTTTTAAAGGTAGTTTTAAAGCTATTTAAGCCACGTATGAGTACAAGATGAACGTGTTCATGTATTGTGTGGCTTTGTTACTACTACCCCAGCAGGTTCATCAATCCTAGTAGGCCTACGACTAACCTATACTCTTGACATTGTTGTATCTTTTGAATAACCGATGCAACTTAGATGCATACACCACGTCTTTTACTGACTAGGACGACCGACTCACCTATCCTCTTGACGTGGACGTCCCTGTTGAAGGAGACCCGCGGCTTGTGGGAGACATCGGACCGCTGGGAGTCTGAGCGGGTGACGTCAGGCATGTCCCTCATCTGCTCGGCTCATCTCAGAGTTGCAGAACCGCGGGAGTCTTTCTCATCTTCACCGTTCGACCACACGCCATCTGAAAACACACATAGTCAGTCTCGTATCATCTCAGAGTTGCAGAACCGCGGGAGTCTTTCTCATCTTCACCGTTTGACCACACGCCATCTGAAAACACACATATTCAGTCTCGTATCATCTCAGAGTTGCAGAACCGCGGGAGTCTTTCTCATCTTCACCGTTCGACCACACGCCATCTGAAAACACACAAAGTCAGTCTCGTGGCATTGCCAGGTTGGATATTGTCTTTGGCAGCTAGGGGAAAGAAGCTTCTCTGTATCAAAAGCTTGCAGAAAATTAATTTCGCTTAAAGTGAAGGAGAGCTTGGTGGAGGATTTATCACACAATGTTGATCCGCTGGCAGGTCAAGTTGTGCAACGCCCGGTCTTGCAAACATGACCAGGATTCCTGAAACTGTCTTTGAAAGGATTGAATTTGTAAGAGGCTGCAACCCAAATGAACTGACCAGATTTTTAACAGAGAAATGTCAGAAGGCGGTGATAATGTGAATTTTCAGAACATATTATTTAGAATTCGAGTTCGTGCTTGGGTATACTCACTGCGGGGATTTGTAGTCTTATTTCTTTTTTATTCATCTATAATATTATACAATTAAGGTGTTGTATGTGTGTCCGTATGTCTCGCTGTCATGACTAAAATAGTAAACTGATCTAGCAAAAAATAAGCACATAGATGTTCCACATACCTAGGAATGTCTTATTTACTTCCCTGAGTTTCCCTCGGGCTACGCCCTATGGAGTAGTAGTAATATTGATTGGTATACATGGCAGGATGAGAATACTCACAATGTTTACGTTTGCATTTACTTTTCAATGTAAACAAGTAGAACTGTCAAATGCTTACTTCACAATTTCAAACAGATGGTCCAAACAAATTAAGTATAATCATTGACTATTGTATACAGTCAAAGGTATAATGTTTTGCATAACTATGTGGTAGGTTTAGTTTATTTGTTGTAGATTGTGTCATTGATTATGAAATTAAGTAAGATTCCAAAACCGATGCTGTAGACATTGTCTCCGAGCTTTGAAAGTGTATTCTTTTTAGTTATTATTCAGAAAAAGTAGGCAAACCACAATATTAAGGTGTTCATGATTTGAACTAATTGGATATTTTGTTAAAAAATTTAAACTGCTTGATATATATTTGAACTACGCTTTAAGGGGAGTCAAAGTCGAAATGTTTTAATTTTTTTCAATTTTTACTTTTTATGTTCTTTTTATAGCACAGAATTTCTTCTTAAAAATGGTATACTTACATTTTTGATTACTAACCTAGAAATGTATAAAAAAATATATTTTCCATAACATTGCAGTGACGTTTTAAAGGTAAAACTAGTAGACCCTTGGTTGACCCTAGGAGGCTTTTCTTGCGATTTCCGCAACTTTACTTTTTTAAACTTTAATGTAATTTTTTTCAGGACTGGTAATATATACAGCTGTGAACTTTTTACCATGTAGTCTTAGTGACTTATTCTAAACACAGACATAAGGAATTCATCATATCTTTAGTAGAAGCATGTAAAAAAATAATATTTTTTTTGGAACAAATTTTTTTAAATCTATAAAAACCCATAAAATAGTTATTTTTAATTTTAAATGAAAAATCTTGTGTCTGTCACTAGTTAATTAGTTAATATAAAAGTATACCAAGTTTCACTATCCTACCTGTTCTAACTCCTGAGAAAGTGACATTTAGTTAACATTACTAAAGATAGGACCTCGGACTCCCCAAAACACGTACTGAATATTTTTTAACTATATAAATTTACATGGTTTGCAAATCCAAGAGAACTAGGTTTTACACTATTATTTTATTTCTTATCATCATAAAAAATCAAGCTGTGCCGTGCACAGTATCCTTTTGTTTCTAAAATCAATGAAATAACCGTATCTAAGTCTCCTTCTCCTTAATCAATGCGTGTTTATAAGTGTGTAGAATAGATCTGGTAGAAAGAACTCTTTGTATATTATGTTGTTCGTTCATGTTTTTGTAGTATGGAATTAGAGATATAAGAGAACGATGACTCAGATTTATTTACTCCTTAATCCTTTAGTTTAATTTGTTAATCCTTGCTGTTTCAATAATCATAATATAGTTTTGTTTGTTGCGTTATAAGTAATTTATTATTCAATCTTCAATTTCATGTAAATTAATTAAATAATATGTACAGTTGGATTTTTTTAGCTAGAAGCAGTTAAGGTGTGGTGGAATATCTTTGAAAATGAACCTATTTGGCAGTAGTGGTGTGATTATGTGTTCAGACCTGTCAAATTTTGAGGTTAAATCAAAACAAACAAACTGGCATATATTCTTGTAATTTACAATAGTTAAATATTTAAACTTACTCTAGCCTACTTTTATAAAAGTACTTGGCAATTTAGAGAATATTTACTGTGAAATAGAGACGTGATTCCTATATTCTAAATTCCAAATCAACTAATGAATAAGTTGATACTTAATTATTGTTTCCAAATTATAGGTGATGGTTGCTTTAGTTAATTATATGAGTAAATATTAAAATATTGAATCTTCTTGCATAAGTTAATTAATTTCGATTATATTAATAGAATAATGTGGCTGCTGTGACTGGGATACACATAAAATAACTGTTGGGACATACAGTAATGACGATTTACGTTTAGTTTTGAAATCTCTAATACTAAATAATTAATATCTAAATATAGACCCGCCTTTTAGGTTTCAAGTTAGGGACCAGAATTAAATACTCTTGAGATGACGAGATAAACCTTTATAATACTAACGTTTTGACCAATTAAATTATAATTTATAGGTAATTGTATTGCTGATAATTAATTCATTAATGCAATCACTAATCAGATAAATTCACCTCGAACAAACAGGATAACATTATACGATAGGCCAAGGAAGCAAGATTCGAGTTTGGTTAATAAAATGCAGTAGCCTAAAAACTGATTTTTTCTTATAAATTAGACAATGAAACATACTGAATCATTTCATTTGATCTTAAATGAGCATTATTTCGTAAGTAATACAACCCGGCCTCTAAATGCCTAATTATTGATTGCCAACATGCTATTATACCACACCTTAACTGCTTCTAGCTCATAAAATCCAACTGTACGAAAAATAAAATGATAAAAGGTTTCTTTATTATTTAATAATTTTATTTATATGGATTTTAGAAATAATCCTGATCAATATTAACTCTTGTATTTGGTAAACTAATAATTTCCATCTTTATATAGTATAGATATTTCGATTTCATTAATATTTCGAAACACTATTACAGAGGCACATCAATATTGCTAAAGTTTATATCAGCTGATGTTTCTTAATGATCGTAAGTGGAATTTTTTGATATTGATATACGTAGTAAAATTTTGTTATTTAAATAAAATAATAATAGTTTTTAAAGTTCAAGATTGAAATTTAAAATGCCAAAAACAAAGGAAGAAGATAAGTGAAGAAGGGAGACGAAAGTGAACGAAGTATATGAAAATCGTATTAGAAAATTTGGTAAGTTTGTCTCATATTAGCCTCTATACAAAATTAATTAAAACCGAAATGACAGTTTCCATTAATTACCTTAATTAAATGCCACAAATCTTTATCAAATGAATTTGTATGGTTGACTGTTGTTTCCAAACGGTTGGTTGTTTAGCTATTTTATACAACAGATAAAACAGGTAAAGAACAAATTCTTCTCTTTCAAGTCCTCTTCCCGTTTCAAAAAACGACTATAACAGCTAGTATACACTATAATTGAATGAGTGCCTTACAGAGAAAGCTACAGTCGAAATTCTATTTCCACCCTAGGTTTTACATAATGATTAAAATTATTTTAAAAATGGTCCCAAACCTTTTGGGTCGGTTAATATTTGGTGTATACAACCGAAATCAGTGATTAACAACAGCGAAATCTATTGGAGTCTAAATTCAACTGGTTTTCCCCCTAAAACCAGCGACAACTTTATGATGAAAATGGCATGTCTACTTCTGTCATAAGTACAATTAATTGTAACCTCAAGCATCGAGCGTCGAATGATCTACTATCAAAAGACTACAAAGACTCTTCGACGCAAATAAAACACGAAAAAACATCCATTGTTGTCTGGGTTCACCAAAGTCAAGGACAATTAAAATTTAGGACTGTTATCTGACAAAGCCCACGGTCCTAAAGGTAACATTGATGACCGGAAGTGGACCGTGAGCTCCTTATAAGCGACGGTCAGGGTTCTCTGGTGGCATTGGATCTCCTTACAGGGAGAACAGAAGCTTATAGCCTCGTCATGCAGACGACGCGACGCTAGACACCCATCAGGATCGAGAGGTAAAAAATCGCAAGAATTTACAAGCAACTTTGCTTTATTTGGAAGTGTAGAACATAAAGCAATACATATTCAGCGACATACACCGATGTGCGTATTTAATTTGAATCTTAATAAAGGGTGAGCGGAACATGGGGTAGTAGTCTATGTAGCTTTGTTACTAAGACCAGTTGTTATTTAGCAAGGAACATATTTAAGGGGGTTATACCTGGCAGACTAACGATTTTTCCTAAGGTAGTGGCAGTCATCATTCACGTTTTTGGGATAGGATTTTCAATGTCATTAAAACAAAAAATGTGAAACTGATACTGACGTTGAAATACTTAAAAGGGGGGAAACTTAAATATGAAGATAACGTGCCTCTTCTCATTGACCCTATATCACAATTAGGGTAAACCTTGCGTTGTTAACAGGCGTTAATAAATTCTTTGGAATAGAAAGAACGCAACATCATACCATTTTCTTTGGGTGAAATTAAAAAAGTCTAGAACGACAAATATTTGTAAGTCCATACAGTAAATTATATTGAGGAGGGTCAGTTGGATTCACCGGAACTTCTTGGTTTCAAATTAAAAGTACTACTGTATTCCAAAATTGCTTGACCACCCTGCCATGCCTAATTAATAACTACCGGGACGTTGGCGTCGTCCTGTAATCCAGCTACTAGGAGATGAAGAATTGTGGA